CACGACATTCTAATTTATTGAGATGCACCTGTATATGTATTATAGGCTTAGTATGTATCATATTATTTGTATCTTCTGACTCCTGGTGACCCCTGTTGACACTAGCATTGAAAGTTTGACTACCACAAACCACACACACAAATGTTTTCATTGTTTTTTGGACATATTTGGATGTTAAGTGTAGTACCTGTGTAGAACTCAGGCTGGTAGATGGGTTTAAAAGTCAGGCTCTTGTTGCTGTTGGCATCTCTGGTGTTTAGCAGAACAGAGGCAATGAGGCTGAAATTGTTGTTGCAAGATAGCGTGATGAGAAGGTGCAAGAGGAGTCTCTTACAGTGTTCAAACACCTCTGGACGGTAGTGGTCCATACCTAAAAAAAAAAAGCCAAAATCTTAAAGTTAAAGGTTTACATTTGTACTTTCACTCATTCATTATTGTTTATGTCCATTTGGGGGGTTTATGGAAGGGATAAGTAGGAATATCTGGTTCTAGCCTTTGTTTTTTTTTTTGTCTTTCAACACCTAAATGTTGTTTTGATTTGAATTGATTAATGTTTTCAATCCGCAGGGATACAAATATTTCACATATTTCTAAAAAAAGATAAGGTGGGTCCATCCTACATGTTCAGGAGATAGCAGCTACTGCTTTCACTGACAACATTGTTCTCGTAGCAAGCCACATAGTTGCAGTCATAAGACACATTGAGGGATGCAATAGTTCAGATGAGATTAGATTAAAAAAAAAGACAAAAGCAAATCCATTTTGGATAAAAATAACATGTACTACAGTAAAAGCAGCACTTTTCATCTGAGAACACCTGACTCAAGCACTGCAGCCTTAATCTAGACGTGTAATCCCTGATAAATGCCCCAAATTGGGATGAGAACAGAACACAGAGGCTCTACTGACCCAGGAAACAGGCATGGAGCAGTAGAGGGAGGTGTAGGGCCCAGTCCTCCTTCACACTGTGATCCACCACCAGCTCCGTCATGAAGATCACTGCTATGTTACACCTGCACCAGACAAAACACACTGGTCTTTCAGTACATGAACAAAAACACATACCAGCAATGACCTTTCAGAACATATTCACAGCTGTGACTGAGTGACAAAAATTTTTTTTAAAGGGAGTATGTTGGTTTTGTCATTACGTTGATGATGGCCATTGTTATCATAGTTCCTAAGTAGACGTTAAAAAGAACATTGGTAACATGTTATCGTGCTTTTTTTTTTCGGGTCAAAGGGATTCTGACGATAGCACTGCAGCTTCTGATCATCTCTTTTCCATCTGTCTGATAATTGCAGAGTGATGTGCTTTAAGATTTCAGGATTACATAATCCGTGGGATTGATAAGAATCACGTTTTATGATGAGAGATTAAATTTAACGACTCAAGTTACAGTGCTTTAAAAGCTAGTATGTAATTCTCTACAAGACTCGGACATTTAATCTAAATCTGAATAAAAGGATGTTACATAATATAAAGTATAGATTTACTTTTGTTACTTAATGGCTGTTTTATTGTAACATGTTAAATAAATACATAATTAAATTTATTTAAATGAATGTTTATTTTGTCAAAACAATGCAATGGATAAATAAAATAAATAATAAAATAAAATAAAATAAAATCCAGAAGTTTGACCTGTGGAGGGGTCCTCGTGGGGTGACTGTTTCAGGTAGATAGTCGACCAGCGGTGCCCAGCAGCCTCCGTTAACTGGCATGGGAAGAGGAAGCGGCTGATTGGTTTCTAGCACACTCATAAGCCACATGGCATACGGTGGGAGCGGCTCACCTGCAGGCAAAGCAAAAAGGTTGAAAACAACACGCCATCCTTGACAGGTATGCCTTTCATCCATGAGACTTGTAATAAAACTGGAATTTACCCTCAAAGCATGAGTGGTATGCAGACAGACAAACTCCATTACTGCCATACCTCATGTCTAATGCAATCATGCTCAAAAACCATAAAGCTTGAGCTTAAACTATTTCAAGCTGAAATGTATTACCTGAGCTGCCTATCAGAAATATCATCTCAAATTCAAGAAAGGTCTGAACTATTTTACTGCTTTAAAGTTATTGATAATATTTAACATCCTCAGGCCAGAACTGTCTCGACATCCATGGCCAAAAGGGAAGCATTTCAGACTTCCAGTTCCAACTGTTGAACTTGACTTTGCTCAGAAGCTCCTCCACTGCATATAGTAAAAATCAATCAATCCCGAACTGTTTTGCCCATTTGTTGAAGCTATAAACTTGACTCACTCTTTTCCTCATCATAGGAACCTCCAGAACTGCTGCTGTACCGAGACTCCAGGCGGTTGTGTGCTCGTAAGATGTTGCTTAGCCTTTGGTTGACAGAAAAAAAAGACTTTTGTCAATACATGTATCAAATATAAACATGCCCTTGATCTAGACAGTTAATCTTAGGCTGCTCCAGGGGAAGTTGCTTTGGATAAAGGTGTCTGCCTCATGATGAATTATAATGAGTTATGTTTGTAATGCTTAAGGTGGGTGTAACCTCAAACTGTGATTAAACGTGACCAAGGAAAAAATGACATTAATAGAAAGAGTGTTAGGGCACATATGTAAATAGAGTGGTTTGTGGCACATACCTGTCATCACACTCCTTTGTGACTGGCGAGTCATCTGTGTCAGGGATGTTTTCCTGGCCACACACCAAGGTTTTGCTGCTGGAAGGTGGACCTTTAGAGACATGCAGTATTTATTAATATAACATGTGGCATGTGATATACATGCAACACATGAGTGCTAACTCAGACATTTTGATGTCTTTATGTATTTATGACATTTTGCCTTGACAGATTCACACAAACTCTCTAGCATACATACCTGAAGTGGTGGTGGTAATTTTGCTTGTGGCTGAAAAGCGGTAGAACGGAGGATTGTCACAGTGCACCACTACAGGGTTCACAGGATCTGTCTGTTGAAGTTCATAAAGCAGCTCCTCCATGGTTTGAATGGTGTTGTTGCGACACAGGTAGATCACCACCTTCTTAATCTGAGCATAAATAGAGGACAAACATAACTTGACAACTTAGCTTTCATTCTTTAACCAAATGACCTGCTTTATCAATAAAATCTGATCAAATCTGACACCAAACCAAAACATAATGAAAAAAATAAATATACAACTTACATGAGGCAGAAGAGAGGTGTCGCTGCTGACTCCACATAAGCTGATGAGAAACTGCATGGTGGTCCGCAGGTTATTAGTCCACCGTTCATTACTGACCAGAGCATTCCAAGCGTTTTCCATTTCTGCACCTGGGACATCATCCCCGTACTAACACACACAGAGACACACAACTCAATATGCTGTATTGATATCCATAGCTTTAGAGTCTAGGAAACACTAAAGTAACAGCGATTCACAGTCATACCTTTGCAGTCATGAACATGAGGTTGTTTAGGACCAGAGAGGAGGCCTGCAGTGACCCCCAGCCTGTGCCTCGGAGCAGGTGAGGTGCTGAGGTGTTGTGAGTGTAACCCTTCCTGTTGTCTCCAGAGCTGCTCAGACTCGTGACAGTGGGCAGCAGGCCTCCATCAACCAGCTCGATGTTACTGAGCCAAGGGAGCAGGTAGGTCAGCATGACCTGACGCCCGTTTGGATGCGTTGTGGGAAACCTCTGACTCACCTCTAGAGATGATAGATACAAAAAGATATATCTACATAAATATACAATCATAAGTATAAATGAAGTTTCTGCATGTTTTGTTAAATTTGCTGGTGGTTCAATTAAATTTAAAGGGATAGTTCACCTCATCTAAATTTTGTTATTTTTTCAAACCTGCATGAGTTTCTTTCTTCTGTTAAACACAAAAGAAGATATTTTGAAGGATGTTGGTAACCTAACAGTTACAGTTGACTTTCATAGTATGGAAAAAATGAAAGTCAGTGGCTACCAGCAGCTGGCTACCAGATTAACACAGTTGCAGTATGACTTGAAAGATTGGTTTACAGAGACATTTCTCCTTCATTCTCCTCCAGTATAATGTTTAAGAGTTATGGCTATACTTTATCAATAGTGTGACAACTGCATATTTGAATGCAGTAATTATTCAAAATTATTTTCCATGATAATCAACAGCATGCCACAGCAGCATTGTTATGAACTAAAATGAAAACTACAAAAATATTTTTAATTAAAATAAATATGAAATGATATATAAATATTAAATGAAAAACATTAAAAATTACAAAGTTTGCCTTAACACCTAACTGAAATAAAATGTTTAAACTGAAGTACTAAAATTGCTGAAACTGAAAAAACAAAAATAAAGACGACCTGAAATATATATATATATATATATATATATATATATATACAAAAGAACAAAGCTACTGAACATAAACTAGAAAATGAAAACTAAAAACATAAAGCTATAAGCTAATAAAACATTACTAAATACTATAGTAGCACATTAATAATATTAAAATAACATTGTGCCACAGATGCGGTCAACAGAACTTAAGTTGTATTAAAACCAGAGACAAAACCCTTTAAGATCACATTTTGCAGTTAAAAGTTTTAGGAGTTTTCACCTATAAGAGAAGCAGTGGCATTAACACACATACACACTGTGTTCATCTCTGTCCTTCCATTTTATACCTGAGAAAAGGGGCAGGGTGAGTTCAGGGTACATTCTGGCAAGTTGCTTTGAAAGCTGGGTTACAGAGAGACTGTAGAGGGGCGGAAGAGGCCCATGTGTCCCATACAGTATAGCACCACTTTTCTGTTCCACAATCCTCTTAGAATACACAGACAGCTTGGCCTCCAGAATCTATTCATCCAGAAAACACACACACATAAACAGATTAGCACACAAACACGCCATTTAATCCAATACACTTTCTATTATTGCAACACTTCTTTGGCAGAGAATGTTCTCTCTCAGACCTGCATTAATTGCATAGCGATCTCGTAGATCTCCCTGTTTGTGTCGGACGCTTTGAAGAGAACAAGGTTCAGCAGAGTCACAATATCACTGGAGTAGTTTCTGTGACAGAAAACAAAAGACCTACATAAAACAAGTTACACATGAGATGTTTTGCTAAATATGTGAATGAGAGGCTTCAGTCCAAAGACACATCTAGTCTTGGCACTATACACGTAAACAAATTATCATGAGAAAGAAAGCAGGCAAACGCCGCCAAAGCTCTATTGAATAGGATTTTATCTGATGTGGGAAATCTGGCAAGAGAAGTAGCCTGATGAAACCTTTTTTATAAATATGAATACTGTATAAAAATTTTATAAATGTTATACTAAAGGTACAATTTAAAAACAATTTTAAAATACATTTAAAAGTTATTGGTCAGTGAGATTTTTTTTTTTTTTTTTTTTAAAGAAATTAGTATTTTTATTACCAAACTTTGTCACTATATACCATGCCGCCCAGCACTAATTTATAATGTGACAAAAGATTTCTGTTTCAAATAAATGCTGTTCTTTTGAACTTTCTATTTATCAAATAAACTGGAAAAAAACACTGAAATAAATTGCATTTTTTTAATTAGTTAAAATAGAAAATATAAATATATATTTTAAAGTGTAATATTATTTCACAGTATTACTGTATTTTTGATTAACATAAGAGAGTTCTTTCAAAAACATTAAAAAATCTTACAGATCTCAAACTTTTAAACCGTTTAATATGCATTAAACTGGAAAATTCAATATTTCCTCTGGCTTTTCAGGCCCCAGTGTACCTGCTACCACAGACAGTGGCGATGGCTTTGAAGCAACCACAGGCCAGCTGGCAGGAGCCAGTGTAACATCGGTCCACGGCCCAGTTAAACAGATTCACCTGATCTGGGTTAAGTTCCAGCAGAAGAACCACCACCTCACAGCCCAGCTGATGCACCTGAGGAGAATCAGATCAGAGGATCACGTATGTTATCCGTTGATGTGAATGGTGACACAAAACCACCTTGGTGGAGGAACAAGGTCACAAAGACATTATAACGTTACACAGCATTTCTATTTTAAATAAATACTGTTCTTTTGAGCTTTCTATTCATCAAAGATATTTGAAAAATCTTACTGATCCCTAACTTTTGAATGGTAGTGTCTCGCTCCAACACCACTAAAATATTTCAGGGCACAAAGCCAGACTTTCACTTCAAGAATCAACATTTGCAAGTTGAGATACAAGCTGAGAAATAAAGAGTTAGAGACATCTAAGAAAAGTGGCTTATCTTATGAAAAATCCCCGAGCCAATTTGCACTGGGTCAAAAGGCACACTTTGAGAATCATTTCAAAGATGGTTGTGTTGGTTTAGCGCTATCAACACTAAAGGAGTGATTGAGGACATATGTGGGTCATGCTGTTTCAGAGTGTTTGGCCGCATACCCGCAGATCCTGACAGCCAAGGATGTTATCCAGCCATTTATAGAGGTAGCCATCAGGAGAGAGCCCTACGTTGTCGAACACGGGGCCACAACAAAGCACAGTCGACATGGCCTATGAAAGGAAGAAAAAACAGCATTCTTTCATGCAAAGCTTTCATGCAAAACTTGGAATTTCCTGTTTTGAGGAAATCACGTCCTATCGTGTCCAACAAAACAAAAAAAATACTTCAAAGAAACAGGGAAGAGGCTCAAAGGACTCATATCATGTCTGGACATTTGTGTGTTTTAATGACGCCAGGGTCTTGAAATTACACACCTTTTACAAATGCTACAACATTATATATGATCGTCTTACAACACCCGCCTTTCCATTATGGGGAAGGGGTTTACGGCAACACAAGAAGCTACACGTACATGCACAAACAATAATAGCTTTAGAGGTGGGTGTCATTTTTCCAGAAATTCAAACCTGAACAAACCTGACGTGAACTATATGTTTACACGTCGTCAATTTGCACAGAGCTGACATTATGAGTACAGGGTTCCCATAGACAAAACCGAGCACACATGCGCTGTCATCCCAAATGGACTCATTCGTCACGTAGTGGACCCACTTTTGTCTCTTTGGCATGTGTGTCCACATTGAGGTCTTGCACTGTATATGACTACAGCGCTTCCTGGGCTATAAGTAGACCTCTGGAGATAAAATTAGTGGCATATATACGTCTGCGGTCTGAATTAGCAACACAAGCAATGGTTTAAATTAGAGCCAGAGTGAAACATCATCTCATTCCACTGCTTTCATATGCAGATTCCAAATACAAATATATGTTAAAAAAAAATTTATTTATATTATTTATTTAATATTTTAAATGTATTATTATTTATTGTAATGTTCCTCTTTGATTAAACTTTTTTTTTCCTTTTTTTATGACATTTTGAAACATGCATACACTACTGTTTAAAGTTTGGGGTCAGTAAAATATATATATATATATATATATATACAGTGGGTACTCCCAAAAAGACTCATGGCTGTATTAGATCAAAAGGGTGCTTCTACTAAATACTGAGCAAAGGGTCTGAATACTTAGGACCATTTGATATTTCAGTTTTTCTTTTTTAATAAATCTGCAAAAATGTCAACAATTCTGTGTTTTTCTGTCAATATGGGGTGCTGTGTGTACATTAATGAGGAAAAAAATTAACTTAAATGATTTTAGCAAATGGCTGCAATATAACAAAGAGTGAAAAATTTAAGGGGGTCTGAATACTTTCCGTACCCACTGTATATATTAAGAAATTAATACTTTTATTTAGCAAGGATGCATTAAATTAATTTAAAGTGACAGTAAAGACTTTTCCACCTGACAAATCATGTGACAGTTGTAACATTATTTCACAATATTGTTTTACTGTATCAAATAAATAGGTTTTTACTGTATTTTTGATGAAAATATATTCAAATAGAATACAGTTATTTTCAATTGCAATGCTATTTTACAATATTAATGTTTTTACTGTATTTTGATCAAACAAATAGGCTCCATCCCCAAACTTTGTGTACAGCAGTGTGTATTTGTTATAAAAAATATACATCTTTTTTATTTTGAATGAAGACCCATCTAAAGCAAAACGTACTGTGCAATGGAATGAAATATCAAAATGATATATAAAATGATATATTACATAAATGTAGTCTGTACTACCTTAAGAGCACAATACTGGTATCTAGTAATCTGATGGTTCCGGTCACTATAGCGATCCAGGGGCGTGAACATGATACTGAAGGGTCCAGCCCATTGGCTGAAAAGGATGAAGAGATGGTGCCGAAGGCTTTGCTGAGGGAAGAGGAAACGTCGATGATGCACTATGAAACAAGGAGAGAAGAGAGGTATTAGATTAAAAAAAAACGATAAAAACATAAATTTTACATCCAAAGCTACATGTTTTATCAATGCAAGTTGGGCTACAGGAACCCCTTCATGAAAAAATATTTTGTGGTAGTGCCTAAACAATTTAAAAACCTTATGATTTTAGTTTTGTCACTCTGCAACTCATCATTTGCCCATGAAGTGGCTCTTGATCTAATCTACTGCTATTTCGGGCAATGTCTCCACTGGGGAGTCTAAATCAAGACTGATGTCAGGAGTCCTGTGACTGAATACACTGTAACCTAGCAATGAATTCCATTTCCTAAACAAAGAAAATGTGGAGCGCTTCCCAGAGCGAAATATAACTTCATGACCATCAGTATGATGTCATTATTTAACGTGAGGAATAAATATTTAAAGTAGAAAAAACTATATTTTGACAATTTATGAATTAAACGAGTTGTGCACAAACAAGAATGTGTATTACGAATGTAAATGGGCTAAATTTAGATTTTGTGTTGACATTAATTGTATACTGAGTGAGTTTGTGAGATGTCTTCCTCTTCACCTGGGACACACTGTATGAGGTTGGCCACCATGGCATTGTAATGTTCCTCTTTGATTAAACTTTTTTTTTCCTTTTTTTATGACATTTTGAAACATGCATACACTACTGTTTAAAGTTTGGGGTCAGTAAAATATATATATATATATATATATATATACAGTGGGTACGGAATGTATTCAGACCCCCTTAAATTTTTCACTCTTTGTTATATTGCAGCCATTTGCTAAAATCATTTAAGTTAATTTTTTTCCCACAATATTGTTTTACTGTATCAAATAAATAGGTTTTTACTGTATTTTTGATGAAAATATATTCAAATAGAATACAGTTATTTTCAATTGCAATGCTATTTTACAATATTAATGTTTTTACTGTATTTTGATCAAACAAATAGGCTCCATCCCCAAACTTTGTGTACAGCAGTGTGTATTTGTTATAAAAAATATACATCTTTTTTATTTTGAATGAAGACCCATCTAAAGCAAAACGTACTGTGCAATGGAATGAAATATCAAAATGATATATAAAATGATATATTACATAAATGTAGTCTGTACTACCTTAAGAGCACAATACTGGTATCGAGTGATCTGATGGTTCCGGTCACTATAGCGATCCAGGGGCGTGAACATGATACTGAAGGGTCCAGCCCATTGGCTAAAAAGGATGAAGAGATGGTGCCGAAGGCTTTGCTGAGGGAAGAGGAAACGTCGATGATGCACTATGATACAAATAAAACAAGGAGAGGAGAAGAGAGGAATTAGATTTAAAAAAAATTTAAACATTTTATCAATGCAAGTTGGGCTACAGGAACACCTTCATGAAAAAATATTTTGTGATAGTGCCTAAACAATTTGAATTAATTAAAAAACTTCTAGTTACATTTTTTTTTATAGGAAAGAAAAGGCAAAATGACTGGCTGTTGAGCGACTCATCATTTGCCCATGATTTGGCTCTTCATCTAATCTACTGCTATTTTGGGCAGTGTCTCCACTTGGGAGTCTAAATCAAGACTGACGTCAGGAGTCCTGTGACTGAATACACTGTAACCTGGCAATGAATCCCATTTCCTAAACAAAGAAAATGTGGAACGTTTCCCAGAGCAAAATATAACTGCATGACCATCAGTATGATGTCATTATTTAATGTGAGGAATAAATATTTCAAGTGGAAAGAACAATATTATGACTATTTATGAATTAAATGTGTTGTGCACAAACAAGTAAGTGTATTAAGAAAGAAAATGGGCTAAATTGTGATTTTGTGTTGACATTAATTGTATACTGAGTGAGTTTGTGAGATGTCTTCCTCTTCACCTGGGACACACTGTATGAGGTTGGCCACCATGGCGCTGAAGTGAGCTCGGATGTCTTTGAGAATCTCCATGTCTTTGTCATTCTCAGCTTCCAGAAGCATCCGGGTCAGGTCCACATACTCAAGAAAGAGAGCGCCCAGGGCCAGCGTATCACGTTCCAGAGCTCCATTAGTGCTGAGAGACAGAAAGATGGGGATCATTTCATGTTTTGTAGCCTGCGAGTTCATAATGAGATGCAATGGAGGTGTCCAGAGAACAGAATCCATAATAATAACATCCTTCTCACCTGTCACTGATGACACCGGCATCCGCCAGCAGCTCAAAGATCCTGAGGAGCTGGAGTCTTAGCAGATCTCTTCTATCTCGCCGTTTTTTATTCTAGAGGACCCATTATGAGAACAATTACTATAGAAACTTATTATAACTATAGAACTATATATAACTATAGAAAATATTTCATTAATTTACAAGTCTGGGAATTACATTTTTAAAAATCCCTGACATTTTAAGGTTTCCTGTTTGTAGGAACGATGTACTGTGGCACTTTTTTTTTTTTTTCATGCAAGATAAGTCAAGTATGCATTGCTTGAGCGAGCCATTTACAACACAACAAGTTATGGCACATACCAGCTGATCTGACTGAACAATCCAAAAAAAAAAAAAAAGAATAGAGAACAGAATCCATAATAATAACATCCTTCTCACCTGTCACTGATGACACCGGCATCCGCCAGCAGCTCAAAGATCCTGAGGAGCTGGAGTCTTAGCAGATCTCTTCTATCTCGCCGTTTTTTATTCTAGAGGACCCATTATGAGAACAATTACTATAGAAACTTATTATAACTATAGAACTATATATAACTATAGAAAATATTTCATTAATTTACAAGTCTGGGAATTACATTTTTAAAAATCCCTGACATTTTAAGGTTTCCTGTTTGTAGGAACGATGTACTGTGGCACTTTTTTTTTTTTTTCATGCAAGATAAGTCAAGTATGCATTGCTTGAGCGAGCCATTTACAACACAACAAGTTATGGCACATACCAGCTGATCTGACTGAACAATCCAAAAAAAAAAAAAAAGTATAACTATATATACTGTAACTGACCTCAGGTCTTCTTTCCAAAGCTTCCTTCATCAAAGGATGCAGTTCCTCAACAAGCTCTCTGTACGAGACACAACAAATAGAAAATCAATAAGGCTAAAGAATCAATACTGTGCTGCCAAGGTTTATAGAGCAATAATTGCTCTATTCCCATAAATACTTTTTTTTGATTCCAAGAACTGAAATAAGCAGACATAACTAATGTAATATGAAATATGATTACTGCTTTGGAAAAAGGTTCGTCTAGATTTGGAGATGGTGTCAAAATGCCAAGTGAAAATGGCTCTCACACAAAGTCTAAACACACACACACTTTTTTTTTGGCATCTGAATACACAAAAAAGTAACAGCACAATTGTAATCGCACAGTAAACTGAACATTGTTCCATGACTGACATTTTAATGCTTTCTTTGTCTGGCCATTTATAGTATCATAATTATATGCATACAGTGTTTGTGCATCGCCTTATCAAAGTCAAGGAATTCAAAAACCCTGACAAGTGCAAAACAGAGGTATGACTAGAATGTGAACATCAGATGCTGCTCACATCTTATCTGAAAAAATCTTGCTGAACTTACATGACACATTGCAAACAATAAAACACAGTATGTTGTGATGTGTGATAATCAAAAATGAGTGAACTTTCTACTATGAGAATTTAGCATCTTGTAGGAACTTGGCCCATCTAAATGTTTACATCAGTCACATCATTAGAGATCTTAAATGTTTATATATTTGCTACATAATACCTGAAAACGAGTGAGTTTGTGCGGCCAAATCCGAGCACCAAAGACTCTGTGATCTCAATGCTTTCTGAACGCATCAGAGGGATCAACTGCTTCAGAAGCCAGGCCACAGACGGGGTGCCGAGGATCTAAAGAATAAGATGTTAATCAATGATTCCATCAAGTCAATAAATGACTGACTGGGGAGTATGACTGTAGACATGACTGGTACGTGATGCATAAGAAGCCTCACCCACCTTGTTGTCATAGCTATTGTTGCTGTCTGTACTGGGAGTGATGATCTCAGGGGTGGAAGCTCGAAGATGACCCGGGCTCATGATGCTGGGTTTGGCCACACCAAAACACAGAATCAGATAGTTTCTCCAGAGAGAAACATAGGTGTCTGCTGAACCAGCCGAGCTTGTCTTCTTGGCATTAACTGGGTTGCTAAGAGATGAAAACATTTGAATGAATTGACTGATGTAAAGTGAAAAATAAGCAAATTAAACTAGCTAAATATTGAATAAATAAATAATAATAATTGAATAAAGTTTTTTGGACCAAAAAAAGTTTGGTGTCAGTTGTATTTTTTAACGTTTTTGGATGCCCGTTTCCACCACTGAATAAAAAATAAAAAGGTAATTGCGACTTTTCTCGCAATTGCGAGTTTACATCTTGAAATTCTGACTTTCTCAGAATTGCGTGAAAGTATTGCATGATATAAACTCGCAATTCTGAGAACATATCAGTCTTTTATCCCCCTCAGAACTGGACTTAAGCTCGCAATTATAAACAGCGCATATTACAAAAAGTCAAAATTGTGAGATAAAAACTCGCAATTACCTTTTTATTTTTTATTCAGTTGGCGGAAACAGGCTTCCATACCTTAGCTCAACTAATCTGCATTTATTTAATAAAAAATACAGTTAAATGGTCATATTGTGAAATGTTACTGCAATTTAAAATTCTATTTTTTATTTCAATATATTTTAAACTATAATTCATTCTTGTGATGGCAAAGCTGAATTTCAGTTTCCATTACTCCAGTCTTCAGTGTCACATGATTCTTCATTCTAATATGCTGATTTAGTGCTTAAGAAACATTTGTAATATTATCAATGCTACAAACAGGTGCTGATTAATATTTTTTTGGAGACTATTGTGGACTATTTTGGAGACGATTGTTTTTCAAATTTTCTGATGAAGAGGAAGTTCAAAAGGACACCATTTACTTCAAATAGAACTCTTTTGTAACATTAACAATGTCTTTTCTGTCACTTCTGATCAATTTAATGCATTTTGTTCATTACTGACCCCAAACATCTGATCGATTGATTAATATTATATTAATCTGACATTTTGCTGAGTTATCATGTATTATGAATGTACTGTATATAAAAAGAAGAGTAACCCAAATAGGACTGTACAGAGTCTGCTATCAGAAGCAGAACCACTTAAATAAGTGCAGTATCATAATAAAAAGTGGCTATGGGAAGCCATTAAAAGCTTAAACTTAAAGATAGAGATAGAGTAAATGCTTAAAAAGCTCTATACCAGGCTCAATAACCTATACCAGGCTGCCACAATAATTAAAGAGCCAATGCAGACCAATCAAACCACTGACCACTCAATGATACATATATAGATGTAGGAGAAAGTTTGAAAGGTCAAATAAACCCTTACAGTAAATATTTTATCCATCCCTCACCTGGGCTCAAGTAAAGGCATGAGGAGCTGCAAGCGGGTGAAGGCGTAGGGCCAAGCGTAGCTGAGCGCTGTGGGACAGTGCTTAGGCAGGTACTCCTGTCTCAGAAGGCTGAAGAGGCACAGAGCCCAGGGTTCCTTCAGAGACTGTGCTAAGATCCACACACGAGACGGGCTCCGCACGTCATAGTGGCTGCCGACCAGAGATCCGTTCCACTCCACCAGCCACTGCAGGTCTGCGTGCTGCCCAGCGGGGAGGGACGCCTGCGGGGAAGTGGAAGGGAAGAGATCATAGTGGCCACTTATAGAGAACTCAACAGTGAAATGAAAGAAAATTGGTCGAATAACAAGATTTTTGGAGAATTACAGACAAAACACAAAATGGATTTATGCTAAATTTAGCACTTTAATGTACCAATTCATCTTCCTGTGCAGAAAAAAACATAAATGATATGATGGAATGAATACCATATTCCACCATAAATGAGTGGATGTATACTCTTAAGGCCTATATCTGATCAAGTCAAGCTCCAAGTGGCCCTTACCTCATTCTGCCCGATGGTGAGGAAGATTTGGCGGACCTCTCGAAGGATGGACACAGCTACTTTGCGTGTGCCTGTCTGGCAGGAGCACAGCAGCACTAAAGCGAGACCCTCAACAGCATGCAGGACTGTGGAGTGAGGGGTCCGTTCAGCAGGCAGCCTGGTGCCAGAGCTACTCTGTAACAACTAAAGTACACAAACATATTATATTATATTATATTATATTATATTATATTATATTATGTATGTTATATAATACATTTTATTTTACATTATATATTAAAAAATTGTATTTCCTTTTTAAAATATTTTATATTATACATTTTATTTTATTTTTAATTTGCTTTCCACAAGAAACAACTCAGATATTAGAGATCTTCTTATGATTTGACACTGAAACTCATTTTTCTTGCCACTTACTTCAGTGGAGCAGATCTTTGATGTGTCCAGAGTCTTGCTGGTGCTGAGAAGGGCTAGTCTCCACTGTGTAAGCAACTGAAGCAGTAGTTTAAGTGAGGAGTCCAGCAGGGTTTGGTGTGTGTCCTGAATCTCTCGAAGCAGGAAGCTGCAATATCCCAGGAGCACTTCCTCCCGCCAATCTGAGAAATCCACCAGCAGACTCTGCAGGGAATTCTGGGCTATCAGACGCAGTTCATCATCCATATGGATGGTTAACCTGGCAGTTAAAAGACAGAAAAACATGAATACAGCAGAAAAAAAATATATATATATATAAATTATATAAATATCTAAATATTAGTCAAAGACTAAATATACCAAATATACCAAAAAATCGTATTAGGCATATATAGAACAATAATCATTAGATGATATTAAAAGAGTCATTAGATGATATTAAAAGACACAGTGCAGACCCCCCCCCCAAAAAAATAAATAAATAAATGAATTAACTGTAATTTGAAATTTTTACTAATCTTTGCCGCTATCCTTCAAACCACTAGGTAATACCCATTTTTTAGAAAGAAAAGTTTTAATCATTTAAAATATAATAAAATGTAGCATGACCACTTACTATTTTATATATTTTAAAAAGTACAAGTTAATTTGTTATGCTGAATGATGATGGAACATTATTTCACCCATATTTTGACATTTTATATTCATTTGAAACATAAAAATAGACACTTTACCTGCATTTGTTTTCTTGTATATAAAAGTATTATTTTAGTATCACTGATATTATTTCAATATTATTTTTATTTTAGTTAAAGTTTTAGGAATTTTGTTGAGTTTTGTCATTTTTATATATTTTTTTCAAATACGTCTATATAGTTTTTATAAATTTTTATTCCAGTTTTAGTTTCAGTTATTTTAGTACTTCAGGTTAAACTATAAGAAAATGAGAAATAATGCCTTGACATCTAGCTGAAATAAAAAAAAAATATTTTCTTTTATTTCAGTTTCATGTTTATTTTATTTAAAGTAGCAAAAATGTTATTTAATGGTTTTAGTTTTAATTTTAGTAACTTGTGTGTGTGTGTTTCTAAAATGTTCCTATACATTTATCAAAATAGTATGCACCAATCCTCATAAATAATCTGCATACTTTCCAAGTGCTTCCATTACAAAGCAGAAGTTCCTCCAGCTTCAGTGAAGGAAGTTCACAGAGAGATCAACTTTACTCTGAACTAGCTGGCTGACCTAATGGCTTGAACAAGAAGAATTAAGTCTGATTAGACCAGCCCTGACTCAGATTGCACTGGAATATCCTATTCAAGCTGGGGGCTGGGAGGGATCCCGTTACTGAAGCTTTCGGGAAACCTGACCATTGGGCAATTCGTCAAAGCAAATGCTTCCTACTTACACGCCCATTCATGCATCGAACATATACACACACTTACCGTGCCAAAAGGTCTATGAGCTCTGACTTGGACATGCCATCAGGAAGGATGCGTGGAATGGCGGCCATGCATGTCCTAAAGAGGTCAATCTTGGGTTTCCTCTCGCCCCTGTCAGTATAGAGAGAGGTCACACAAGCTCAAACAGTGAACTGACAAGCTCAAACTTAGTTGGATTTGGGTTGATGGGTCAGGTGTGTGAAGAGAATCAGATACACCAGATGAAAGATTATTAGACAGAGACAGTGTTGTTGTGTGACATACGTAATCATATCCTCGGGTTCCTTATTCAGCATCTGTGCATTACTCAGCATCATACAGCGGCCAACCTCCTTATCCAAATGTCTGAGGATGTTGTCTAAAGCTTTCCTCACTTGGGGGTAATAGAAGGACATTCCTGATGGTTGAAACGATGCAAAACTTAAAAGACTGGCATGTTCTTTAATAGTAACAGAGTTTAATGAGAAAATGCCAATCAATATGATCAAGAAGATGTTTTTGGTCAAACCTTGTTGTGTTTTCCCAAAATGCTAGTTAATGTTGCATTGTTAGCATTGGACTAAAACTTGCTGACTTTGCGCACAACTCAATTTATTATTATTTTTATTTTTATTTTTTTAATACTTTTTGGGGATTTTTCCCCACCTTGTTACACCTGGTGTTCTCAATCAAAAATGACCAGTCTACAAAAAATTGCTTGTAAATTTCTTGCTATGCTATATTATCAAATCTTGGATTCAAACTTTTTTTCCTTTTCTATCAGCACTAGGGTTGCAAAAAGGCAAAAAAAACAAAACAAAAAAAATAGATCCACAAAATTTCCAAGTTTTCAAAACTTTCTGGGATTTTTTGGAAAATTTCTTTTCAAAAGTTTCCAGAATTTTCTGGAAATTTTCCACCCCTTTGCAACCCTAATAAGCACAGATTTTGTATTTCATTCTGGAGCTGACTGATCACAGGCCTCATTGGTCTGAGCATATGCACCTCAGTTTGTCAAAATGATCCACAAATAGATATGTATGGATTTCATTGCATTAGAAACCAAAGTGCATTAGGAAAAAAAATGCAAAATGCATTGCATTAGAAACAGCAAAAAAAAAAAAAAGACATCTTCATTTTTGTTATATTATTTAAATTACATGATTGAAAAGTTTTCATGTTTTCATCATCTTTCTTGCATTAATATTATTCATACATAATAGCACTGAATAGTAAATTTACTGAATATCTATTGTTTTACAATTTAAAAGTTTTTTTTTTTTTTGCAAAATGTTTTGCTTGAAAAGTGTGCTTAAATGAATGCCTGTGCCGTTCATAAAAAAGCCACTTTTTATTTATTTTGTTATTCAGTGCAAAACACATTCATACGCTGACAGTTTAGTCCCATAAACAGCCTTTATTTTTATTGAAATGATTCCTCTACAAGTACTACAGATGAACTCACCTATGACTTTGGCCTCATCTTCAGTCAGAGGCTTGCTCAGGAATGTCTTTTTGACTCGTAGTGTGTTTCCAGAAGGGAGCGTTGCCCCTGTGTTCGGCATTGGGGGATCACCATCTTTCTGCTGCAGCTTGTCAGCAATAACCAGGAATGCTCTGAGACCTATATTCATTCTCTACAGAACAAGAAATCAAGATATGAGTGCCATAACAAGGAGATAAAGCTACTACATCTATTGTAATTTGACAATACTTTACCTCCGGATTAAGACTAAAGGTTTTTGCAGGTTTCCCAACACACAGTAGGTCAAAAATGACTTCTTTCATTGCAAAGTCAAGTCTTTCCTGTAAGATAAAAAGAAAGAGGAAATGCAACAATGCAGTATGCAAAATGTAAATTATTTTAACACATGCTGCATCAGGAAGACTAAATATGTGTAGCCTTGCAAATTAATGATGGGAATCTAGCTGTCATTGCATATTTGTTTCGGCAGCAACTCTAAATCCTTTGTCCTTAGACACATGCTCTGTTTTCACAACAAACAAGAATTAGGTCTTGTATAATGGTTTAACAGCAGATTATTATTGAGGTTTTAGTTTTAGATCTGTCTGTCACTTAATCGCAGACTTACCTGTGCAATAAACTGGATAACCTTAACAAATATATTGAGAGGCATGTCTTTAGGAACTACGCTGCGGGATCCTTTAGGGAACAGGGTCATCACAATAGAGTTGAGGCGGCTGTTGGGACAAGATCACAGTGTTTACCGATAACAAGTTTAGAATCTGGCACAGACATATACAAAAAGAAGGTCAAAGCATAGTGACACAGAAAGCTTGTTATAATTAGCATTCCATTACAGTGGCAGACCTGAGCCCGGCTTATTTGTGAAATTTTATTTTTAAGTGAGGTTTGTCCACTTTGGGCTTATTCATAGTGGTTGCAAACTCCGAAGTCACAGTTTGGTATGTGGCATGCAAAGCCAAGGTTTCTGATATTTATGACTTGTTGCTATAATGCAATACATCTCTCTGAATACATCGCAAGAACTGCTAGCTGACCCAACACCAGTTTTCCAGCCTATTTTGAGCATTTTATGATCCTTGTGGTTCCAGAACTAACCTCCCCTCCCATGCTTTAGATATTTAATATGCCTTCTTAAATGAGTTCGGTGAGTTAATTTAATGTTTTTGAAAGAAGTCTCTTATGCTCAACAAGGCTGAATTTACGTGATCAAAAATACAGTAAAATAGTAATAATGTGAAATATTACTACACGATCCTTCAGAAATCATTATAATATGCTGATTTAGCGTTTTATTATTAGCAATGTTGGAAACAGTTGTGCTGATTAATATTTTTGAGGAAACTGATTTTTTTTTCAGAATAGAATGTAAAAAAATGCTTTTAATTCAAAAAGAAATTGTGAAATTAGGAAAGTCTTTGCCGTCACTCTGATCTATTTAATTCATCCTTGCTGAATAAAATAATAATAATAAAAAAGACACCAAACTGAACAAACTGAAGGTTTGTTTGGAGTCAAACACTACAATATTTTCATTTTTTATTTATTTGAACAAACTGCCAAAGGTTTAAATATATAGGATAAAACAAAAACTGAATAAAAATGCCAAATACCATTTCATATTACTTTTTAGATAGCATACTACTATTTGAAATCTGTACTGTTCCATAAAGCATACTGTTTTACATATAGTACTTTTTTAGTATGTATGTATGCTGTTCACAAAGCCCACAGTTCACAAACTATCACAACTTCCCCTTCTAGTATTGAAATCCTCTAAGGGCATGTACACCCTTTCCCAAACCATTTATTACATTAATTCCGATCGATCTATTATGGATTAGCTGCATAAGACATCTACACATGTTCAATGTTCATTTCTAGCCCTGAAGATCAAATATGGGTGTGTATATGGCTTCGTTTGCCAAGCTTTCGATTCCCAGTGGCGTTCCAACACCCATCACCCATGACCACCAGCCTCCCTTCTGGTTCTCTAGTTTCTCCACCCATTTCTGGCAGCACTGTCAGTAATTACCCCTCCGCCTGAGGCACGATGACTGTAATGGATTGCTTGTTTACTCTCTGCCACTGAGAAGGGCTGAGGGGTGCGGTCACACCCCGGGTTCATTGGACTGACAGCCATGGGAGGGGTAGGGTACAGACTTGTTTTAATTTTTATTTTTTTCAGCCCTTTAGAACTCCACTAAGAAAGCTGGCATTCACGAGATGGGCCGTATTATGTAAAATCAGTTTACTGTGAACCTTGTCTCTGGGGGTCTCAGATGGGCGTTTTAGTAGTGGCTTTAAATACAAGTAGCAGCAGACCACGGCTGTGCTTACCCCTGCGTCGCAGTGTTGCTCTCGCATTTGATGCGAATCATGTAGACCCACAGAAGTCGGTAGAGGGACTCTAGTGCTACCCGTGCCATTTTAGGGTCCTTGCTCTGTAATGATGAAGTTTATGTAGTGAGAAATCCAGTTTGCGATTTTGAGTTGAATAAATGAATAAACTACATACCTTCAGATTGGAGAGGCAGTTGTTGAGGAAGACATGCCATCTGTTGAGGAAGAACTGTTTTTGGCTGACACACAGCAGACATGTCACTAGTGGGTACAGAGCCTAAAAAAACAGAGAGAAGGGTACATAGTGTTCAAAGTGCCGTCAAAAAGTATGAAACACTACATCTTATGAAATCCAGACTGACCAGTGAATGCTTCTTTCTTGTTGAAAGGTCCAAGGTAGAATCATACAAGCTCTCCACAAAGTTCCTTAAACAGGGAACATTCACCTCATTCTTGACAGCCTATTAAAGAATGGAAAGACAATAATAATAATGAGGATCAAAACGTTTGTAGACATTTCTACCAAAATAAGGATTAAAAAGGGTGATATATGGCTATATACGTTATTAAAACAATTACTTGACCAACAGGTCATATACAATGATGTGTGAGTGGATTGTAATGTTCAAAATACATGTAAATAACATCCAATTTGCAGAGTGTTGACAGATCTTTATAACATTCTCTAACCGCTGCTACAGGAACTAGAATTTCCACAAAGAATCCAGCCAAAGCATGTTTGATGTCTTTGTCCTTCACTTCCAGGAAATACTGCGCACACTCCTGTAACAGAAAGGAGCATAGCATAGAGAAAAACTGTTAGCCTTCACATTCTTGAGAGCTAATTTCATTGAGCTTATCACTATAGCCTTATCTAAGTCTCTATATTCAGTATAAATGTATTTAAAATAAATATAATAAATTAAATATTAAACAAATGAACAAAATAAATCAATAAAAAGGCTACAGTACAAATGTATGCTTTGTGAAATGTCTTAATATTCTACATTTACCTGTATGAACTGAAAGGAGGCTTCAAACTCCTCTACAGGATACATTTTCACTCGGAAGAACTTCACGCCCATGATGAGGCTGATGGTGCTTTGGACCACGTATGGGCTCTGCTCCTTCTGACGGAGCTCCTTCAGCTCACTCATGAACCTCTTTTTAACAGCAGGAAATCTACACAAAAAAAATTTTATGATGGACAGATAAATCACTGGCTTGAGGGCAAGCGTTATACTTCACAAGCACTTACAAAGAGAAATCGAGTCGATTATATGTTAGATGATATATGAGGTAGAAAAAAGCGTTTTAAGATTTTACTCATTTCTATGACTTCACAGTTTTAAAAAAGCTACATTTCTGGAACATAAAATAAAATCAAATAACACAGCACTGGTGCCCCTGCCCTCTCACAAGCCAGACCCCAAGCTGTCAAATAAGACAACCAGAGACCTGGTAACATCTCTTGAGCAAGCAAACACCAACAGACAACAGTTTCCCAGATTATTTCACCCAACCAAGGCGAAAATAAAAGAGACGCACAGGGCAACTGTTTTGCAACAGGCGCAGTTGTTTTGTAGAGTACCACACAGATTATAGGAATTACACTTATGTACAGAGGATGCTAAGCATTCAGACCACTTGAAAGCTATGTGAGGTAGAAAAAAAGCGTTTTAAGATTTTACTCATTTCTATGACTTCACAGTTTTAAAAAAGCTACATTTCTGGAAAATAAAATAAAATCAAATAACACAGCACTGGTGCCCCTGCCCTCTCACAAGCCAGACCCCAAGCTGTCAAATAAGACAACCAGAGACCTGGTAACATCTCTTGAGCAAGCAAACACCAACAGACAACAGTTTCCCAGATTATTTCACCCAACCAAGGCGAAAATAAAAGAGACGCACAGGGCAACTGTTTTGCAACAGGCGCAGTTGTTTTGTAGAGTACCACACAGATTATAGGAATGACACTTATGTACAGAGGATGCTAAGCATTCAGACCACTTGAAAGCTATGTGCTTCTGAAGATCTAGAAACACAAAGGCTGATTTCCAGACCTTTCTGCCCCCTTCAGTATGTTTTCTGCACATTTCAAAAAGCACAGTTCAACACTGCTAAACAAAAATTGTTGGATTGAGTACTTGCTTTGCTTGTGCTAAGACTCCGATAACTTCTGCATAGAGATCAGCTACAATGTGCATGTTGGCAGTGTTGGGTCCATGATACCTAGTCATAAAAACAAATGTAAACAGTAAAGCAGATGTATGAATTTATATGAATTTATACATTTTACTAAATGTATCCAATAGAGGAAAAAGTCTCTTACCCCTCTTTATATATAAAGTGCTTAAAAGCCAAATTAATGACTTCATGGACCAAACCATCCACAACTGGGTGGAGGGGCATCTGGCCAAAAACACAAACAGTATCACATTTTATAATTTGGTTTTGATTGGCCAATTATGGCTTTCTGTGATTTCAAAAACCTTTGTATAATAACCACTAAACTGTGTATCTCTTCTAAGCCTTAATCTATGGCTAAATTTGCCATTTTGTTGCCAAAGGAAACAAAACACAATTCGCTATAAAATTTGAAGCTGACTGGGACAATTTTGATTGTCTGGCAAGGCAATAACCACCATAGATCCTTGGTGAGGATCTACAGACAAACTTGTACATTCAGTTCTCCTCACTCTTAAATATTTGTTTACATCTTTAAAGTCTGTTGGTTATATTTGCATCTAAACTTATTTAGATGCAAATCAAAGTGTGTGTGTTACCTGTTTGAGAACCTCTATGAGCACAAGAGAGAAGATGAAGTCGATGGCTAGGTCTCTCCTCTCCAGCAGATAATCTTTCTGCTGCTCATCACTGGGAAAGAGAGAATGTAAACAGATCATGTAAGCCAATTTTGCTCCCACCCTCTCACACATTCACTAAAATATCATTTCTCAATGATGAAATGGAGTTTTGCACTCCAGCTACAGGAAGCAGAAGTCACAGAAGCATCTGAGTCACTCAACACCCACTTGGCTATCTGATGTCACTGGGCTATTCTTGGCACTATTGTGTCAAATCATCCAGTTAAGACAGAAGTCATCAGGCCAAGTGACAATATTGCATTACAGTCTTTAAAAAAAATGTTTTTGAAATCAAGTAAAGACATTTACTATGTTAAAAACGATTCCTACTTCAAATAAATGCTGAAAAATCCTGAAAATGTTTACACAAAAATATGAATACAAATATATGGCTCAAACGTTAACAGACATGAGCAATACCCACAAAACTCCAACTGTGAACAGTTAAACTGCCTGCTGTTCTTCAGAAAAATCCTTCAGGTCCCACAAATTCTTTGGTTAAAGTCTCTTAATGCATCGTTTTCCCTTCTGGAGCATCATGACGGTTTGACCCTTCTATAATAGTTGCATTTGAGGTAGATTTGCATTATTTAACTCTATTATGCTTAATTAACTATATCATACTGTATTACGCTTAAATGATCAGCCTTATCTAAGCGATACAAACGGGACTCACTTTTTGGACTTTGTATTTGAACGTGGTCGGTACTCATAGGATTCATCGTCAACTCCATTCTGTCTTTTGTACCAGTCAAACAGGGTTCGCAGGATAGATGGTAGGCAATACTCGGCCAGAGAACTCATTGTGCTGATCAACTGAAAAAAAGATAGCATGTATTAATCTCCACATAAACAAACTAAAAATACACCTAGTGCTTAATACTGTATGTAGGCCATGTATTTTAATGGTGCATATTCAGGAGAAAGTTATTTTGAGTGTGGAGGTGGTCTTGGTGAAAGCAGAGACTTTGTGCGAGCATGTGTCTTAAAGGGTTAGTTCACCCAAAAATGAAAATTAGCCCATAAATTACTCACCCTCAAGTCATCCTAGGTGTATATGACTTTCTTCTTCCTTCTGAGCGGCGCATGCTGCAACGCTGACCTCATGCGTCATTCCCCCGGAACTGCTTCCAGTGTACAACAGTGAGCGCAAGCTACATTAAAGTGATTATTACGTTTTGAATATGGATATTTTTCTTACAAAAACGCATCGATTCGCTACAGAAGGCCTTTGTTCACCCCCCGGAGCCGTGTGAGACACTTTTTTTTAATGGATGGGCGCTTTTTATTTAACTGCTTTTGGACGGATGCATGCAACACCCGCTGAGTGGCATTAAACAGCTTGAAAGATCAAAGACCATTTTTAATATAACTCCGACTGGATTCGTCTGAAAGAAGAAAGTCATATACACCTAGGATGACTTGAGGGTGAGTAATTTATGGGCTAATTTTCATTTTTGGGTGAACTAACCCTTTAAATGTGTATCCAAGATGCAAAGACAGCGAGAAAAGAGGAGGGAGTTGGGGTAATGAGTGCAGGAAGGAAAGGCGGTCCCTGGTGAGGACTCGACACACAGGAAAGGGAGGGAGAATGGGTGGTGTTCAGGGGCTGAGGGTGAACACAGCGAGCCCTTCATTCCCTGATGAACCCTGGGAGAAGAATCACCTCTCAGTGAGGCTGCTGAAAAGCCCAGGGGATCATGGGTACAAACGCAGCCCTGTGAGTTCTGAATGAGGCTGCTATTCACCTGCCTCCAACACACAAACACACACACACATACATGCATACAGAAACAAACTTACAAATTCAGGGCAGGGAACACACACTCCACCCAAGCCAGCAATAAAAAGACCTTTCATTCTGGGCTTTCGATACATTTACTCAAGGTTATATGAAATTAAATTCTGTTTTTTAGACATTTTGTACATTTATTAATTTTGCAGATACTTTTGTCATTCATTTACACAGTTCATTGTAATGGGTAAGTTTAGGAATAGTAATTATATAACAAACCAAACATTAAGGATTTTTTTGTTTCTGCAGTTTGGCTTTTGGTTTAGATTTTTTTACTTGCCCTGACAGGCTGCAAACTTACAATGTTCACTTTTTAAATTAATTTAAATAAAAAATTCCTTATTTACATTAATAATTTTTTTAAAACATAATTTTAAATATATGTATAATAAAATTTTGCAATTATATTTTATATTTGTATTAATTTTATATAATATTTTTGTTTTTACACTTTTTAATCAAATTGAAAATAACCTTTGCAATAAAAATGAGACATTTTATACATTTATTCATTTTGTAGATACTTTTGTCATTCATTTACAAATGAGTTAACTGTAAAAATAGAGTTTGAGAAATATATTCATATAACAAATATTACTCATTCTGGCCCCGATGTAAAATTATAATTGATTTATTTAAATTTAATGTAATTTAATTCCATATTTACATTTAGAATTGTACAAATTCAAATTTGGTAATCTCTCTCTCTATACAGTATATATAGTTGTGTGTGTGTATAGATACATATGAATGTATATATCTACAGTATATTTATATTTTATATTATTTTTTTCATGTTATTATGGTCTCACAATTTTTTGATCAAATTGCAAAGAAAAACTGGAAATTTGCAATGAAAATTAAATGCAATCCTTATTGTTGAGCCCTGTATAAAACAATCAGAAACAATTATGTGTAAATTATAGAGAAATAATGTCTCGCCCACTGCACAACATGTTTGATGACCTGATGGAGCATGCAATGTCTCCTCCTATCGTGAATTTAGGCATAAAACTCTCTTATCTAATCTATCAGAAATGCAAATGGACTTGTTCACTCCCAGACAGCCAGACAAGCCAAAAACCACATCAGGCTTTTACTGAGGTCACTTTGAATGCTTTAAAGGCTAGACAGATCCATGAATCTATTTTAATAATTCACAAAGTCAGATTAATTTTTTGGCACAGCCAGGCAGCTAAAAGGCTGTTTCTTGTCTTTCCGCTGGGACATCTGTCCACGGACTGGACATGGGGACGTGTGCATATGTTCAGGGGGCATTAAGCAAACAGTACTTACTTGGTCAAACTGCGGATCTTCACCCCTCTGAAGAGACTTTACCAAAGGTTTTTCCTGTAAAAACAACAGAAAAATGTAAAAATGAATTTAATGCATTCTTAAAGAATGAAAGTATTTTGTTGAGGGAAAAAAAATATCTTCCTGACCCCAAACTTTTAAACAGCAGTGTGTATATACAAACAGGGCAACCTGCAGAGTCTTACAATGTGAAAAAGCTGATCTTAGCAACTATCACAGATCGGACATGCTGATTAAACAACACAGGTTGTGTAAAAAACAAACTGACCTACATTTCGTACTCCTACTCAGGTAACATAAGATGTTTCAAAGACCCAGAATTGCGTGTAGCTTCTTTTCAGGAGACAGCAGTTAATAAGTGATTTGGATATTCAAATACTATTATCATTTTGTTATTTGGATTTTAGGCCCAGAACAGACTGTCTTCTCTGACCCAGCTGGGCTAGTCAGACATAACACTTTCAGACTGTGTTAAATTTAATTTGAGCTCATTCAGTCCACTGAAGCACCACTTTCATCTTAGGTTAATAAATATTTCAGTTGCTGGAGTCATTTGAGGGAGAAACAGATGAGAGGGCAGACAAGGACAGGGCAATCCCTCAAGGCTTTGTTAATGGACCGCCTTATGCTCTTGCAGGACCTTTCTCCACTTCTGCATAAAAAGACTGGGGTATGTCAAGACATGACCGCCCCATAAAAACACTCTAGTTGTGTCTGAAGAGAAAGAAAAGTAAATAACATCCAGAAACCAAAAAGATACTGCAGCTATGAATCGCTCTATTTACTGTTCAAATACAATCGGTCAGAGGGATGTCGTTGTGCAAATAAACTGCAGATAATCCAGGTCATACTATTCTTTATCAAACAATACATTACACAACTGTGGCTGAACAATTCAGGTAACATGATCTTAGATTTTTTTTAGAAAATTAGAAGAAGAAGATGAGCTCATCCTGGTGGCAGATGTTTTGAGGGACACAATATATCTGTCCTGGGAAAGGTTAATTAACACTAGCCTGCCTGTCGGCCATGAAACTAGCAGCTCGCTGTTAAACACGCAAGCAGGTAAATTTGCCTGTTGTCTGGAAAATACTAATGAGGCTGGCAAGTGTTCAGTGTCTTTAGAGATAAACAATCGATATTTTAACACTAACATCTCATCTGTATTTTCCATTTCTGACATATATGAATTTAATTTCTATTGACAAGAACCATACATAGATGTAGGGTCACGTGCTGAGCTACATAAACAACTAGGGTTAGCCGGATTAGCTTATATTTCCTTATTAGATTCAGTCCAAACAAGTCATTCCAACAGTCCATATGGTCAGCCATCTCCACAGTCCTCAGAGACAGATGACTACTGGGACTGGAATGGTCACAGGTCTCAAGATCGTAACCTTCAATAGTTCAAAACTGTCACTCACCAAAGGTTCGGCCATGACGATACGTATTTTGCGCTCTGAGATGGTGGTGAAGTTGGCGAAGAGGCTCTTGAGCACGTATTCGCCCGGACGGCTCTCTGGGTCCACGCTGATGGGCATCATGGCTGGCGGCCCCTTCTCACCCTGCGAGCAGCAAACTGGTGGGACAGGAGGCTTGCTGTACCCTGGTGAAGCTTTAGACAAAAAAAGAGAAGAATAAATAATATTAAAATTATAAATAAATATGTACATGGAAATGAGGTGTTCTTAGTGTGTCTAAAATACTGCATGTATTGTATTTGTCTTTTTCAGAAGCCCAAAAATGGAAAATCTGCATTATTTCAGAATAAATCACATGCATTTTCTACTGTTATAGTTTAGAGGTCAAAAACTATTTGAATGTATACAATCAATTATTGTATTCCAGACAATGACCCTTTTCGTAATCCAGACAGTGAAATCCATTTCAGAGTTTCCCAACAATTCTCATTCTGCAGCTTGCCAGCGACTGAAACCTGTGTACACAAAGTAACGCCCAGATTTCCTCAACACAAACTAAAGTAACACCCTAGAAGCAGAAAGGTCGATTTCATATCAAGAAGTTGTAATATTCTTTCACAGAGCTCACAAACACACACACACACACACACACACACACAAACTACTGGACTGTACTGTAAGTAACAGTGGTCGAGTTGCAGAGGGGGCATTTGACAGTCACAGCAGTGATCATTTTGACAACAAATTTTGATCTAGTTTTAGACACAGTCTTATCATATGTTGACGAAAACAATTCGTTACACATGGCTTAAACTGGGTTTTGCTTTCCTTTGAATAGAACAAAAAGATCTTTGTAATCTACAGTATTTCACCCCTGAAAACAACTAGTAGTTTACAAATTTTTAATCCACTTTTTTCAATCTAAAGTTTAATATATTTAATATATTTTGCACCCAGAGGCGTGTCCCCTCAGATTTCTGAGCCAAGTGCATTTTGAATGCAGCTTCCAAAAGACAAAAATAGCCAAATAATATTTTTTATATTTGATACAATCGCACCGGTGTGATTAGATTGTTCAGTACGGCACAGCATCAGCTGCTAAATTCAAATCTGCATTCACTGGCTGGAGCTGAGCCAGAAACACACGCGTCTTTACAGTGCTGCGCATTATAACCAATCACACACGATTCTGTTGAGCTTATGAATGCAATGGCCAATCAGAGACGTTCAGATGAGTCATTTGAGAGTGCCTATGGCTAGACTGAATGAAAATGTTCTTTGCTCTCTGTAAAATGAAAGTGTTATAATTAGTAACTTACAATATTGTTATTAAATTCACATTAAATACAAAGTCAGTCGTATTAAAATATTTTATGGCATGACACACATATCTAGTACTTAAAGGGGTCATATGATGCTGCTAAAAAGAACATTATTTATTAACACGTTTGAAAATATTTCGAATAAAAAATTTTTTTTTTAAAATAAAACATAAGCCTATATCACATCAGGTATACAGTGCTATCGTGGCTGCTGTGTGTCACATGACAAGCATGACCCCCCCCCCCACGTGCCCCCTCAAAAATCATGAGTGCATGAACCCGGTTTACAGCGTCCATATTTTCTTGATATTACATTGTCAAATGTTTCATTGTACATGGGCAGCCCAAATGCTAAAACTAAATTTGATTAAATAATATTCTTTAATAATAAATTGATTAATTTATAAATACTTCTTATTTATAAAAATGTATAAACTAAAAAAAATTGTTAATTATTAATATAATTAATAATTGTATTAATATTTCCTTCGTTTCATTGCATTCTACCTGACTGCACAATCATTCATTAACATACTGTACACTGCAGTTGGCAACAAACATTTCTTAATTTCATCAAACCATCTTAGATCGATATATTTCTTCAACAAAATAAACTGTGTGTTTTGCTATTATATTATCTAAACACCAATAAAAGCTCATGGGTAAGTTTGAAGCTCGCCTTGCATTTGTTCAACTACGCTGTGTCACATTTGACTAATTCTGTTACTTAAACACTATGTTCGTTTACAAGTTTCATCATCATTCATTGACAGATTCTCACTCACTGCTCTTTCTCTCTCTCTCTTGTAGCACCTACCCAGACCTTTCATGAAGTTTACCATGCTGGTTTTATTCCAGCACATGACTGTGCTGTCCATAGTAGGGGAGCAGCATATGGGATCCAGTTTTCCAAACTTCACAAGTCCTTATCAGTCACTTCAGTGATAGCAAGACCTTCTCCCAATCACCACTTGCCCCATACTATAAAGGTCCCAGTGCGAGTCGAAACAAAAGTCCGAAAATTAGGTGATAACAGATCCGCATGTGTGCTCGCCTCTTCTGAAAGCTCTCTATTGCAGTGTAAACGTCCACTGCCTCTCGAGACTGAATATCAGGCTGGAATATTTAGCTGAGGCCTGGGCAAGTGTGCAGGACTGACATGCTACAGTGGCATAGCTGCAGGGCTATATTTATCCCTGAGTACACACTATACGTCCTGATCTCTCCTCCGCCACTAACCAACAGTGTAAACATAATTCGATTGGGCACAGACTCACTCACTTTCACTCCCTTGTTTGCACATATGTAGAAACACAGGCGGCGTAAAGTGAGATAAACTATCTAGCTTCTGAATTCCACCGACCGACTCCATTACACAATCTTCCCTTGGGAAAACCGCCATGGGCAGCAAATGAGAAGCCAACTAGGCTTGCAAAGCTCAATAAAAATATTGCATTAACAAAACGCATAAACAGATCTCAAGCATTAAAATGTCAATAAATAAAGATAAACAAACTATTTTTCTAATTTACTTAAAAATTTTATATATATATATTATATATTGTATATGTATATATGTATTGTAAATATATTTATTTATTTATTTTATTTAGTCATTTATCAGACGCTTTTATCCAAAGTGACTTACAAATGAGGACAACAGAAGCAATCAATTGTAGTATTAAAACAACTAAAAACAGATC